GCACAGCAAGAAGCTCCTGAGTTCAATTCCACCATCAGGCCGGGGCTTTCTGTGTGGAGTTTCATTCCCGCCACAATAAAGGGATTTGCGGAAGTGGGGTCAGATGTTACCATGGTTACATGGGTGTAGCTGACCTGGTTCGATGTTTAAAATTGATATTTATGGGATGAAGCCATCACACCTCAGGTCTTTGTGCCACACATAAACATCTGTAAGTGGGAACAAAGAAGAACTGAGCAGTAAAGGAAACGTTCTCCGAGACATCCTCCACCTGAGCAGCTTCCAACGCTAACAGAGACTCTCACCATCAGCCTCACCATGTTTTCTGTTTCAGTCGACAGACTGACGGAGCTGCTGTCAGATGCCAGCATCCAGAAATCTTCCATAACCAACGGCAACCAGGAGATCAGCGGTGAGTCACCTGTCACCTATTTGTGCCCCTTCGTGTCGTGATGCAGAAATCATCTTTCTGTTGCTGTTTGATAACCCGTCCCTTTCTCTCAGATGGTGACTCTGGTTCTCTGAACGGCTCTTTTGACTTGAACGACAAATCCTCAAAGGTAAAGCTCACCTTTCACCTCCTGCTCAGGTGTGTGTCTTAAAAAAGTGAAACTTTCAACCCCTCATATTTCTTCTGAAATGTTTGAATGCTCAGAGGTTCCATGGAAGTTATTTACAGTCTTTAACCAATCAGTGAGCAATTGGTCACATGATCCCAATGTCACAGCAGGGTTTTGGTGGATTTTGTTTCCGTGGAAACTGGAGCAGAAGTGAAGATACAGGTGACAGTAAAAAACAAGTAAATGTTGAAGAATGTTTTTCTGAGGGGCTCGTTTACGTCTCACTGCACAGACGAGCGGGCGGAGCTACTTCTTCACTTACATGGTCGACGTTCTGCAACTTTTCCCTTATTTATAACATCATCGTATGCAGCTGGTACAACAGAGGCGCCACCTGATTGGTCCACATGTTTCAGGTGGTTCGTGAAGCTGAACCTGCATCTGCAGGATGCAAACCTTCAGTGGTGTTTAAATGTTTGTCTGCTGAACCACAGTTCTTCAAATAAATCCTCTTTATATAAACTGTCTGTTTTCATGTGTCTGAGTGAACCTTCAGAATAAGAGAAGGTCTGTGGCCGTTTGTCTCCACGTCTCTCAGTTTCAACTCTTTTCTCTTTCAGGATAGAAATGGTAACCAGCTGCAGGAGCGAACGCTGAACGAGGTAACACCTACTTCCTCTTTTCTGAGTAACCTCTTGATACCAAGAAGTCAAAGACCTAAGCCCCTCCTCCATCAGTACCTACTCGGATCGCCTTGCCACAGTTCGCCACGGTTTTCAGGGCTGGCACCACATACTGCAATAGTACCTGCCCGGGTTCCAAGGGACCCGGGCAGGTACTAAAATGTGATGTCAGATTGCGTGACACCGATTGGCCGGTCAGTGGCGTCATTCAAAGAGTCACAAAAGCAACTCGTTCACGAAAATCAAAACAGACATTTTTGAAACCCGGCAACGAGGAAACAGGCTGCAAAACCGACACAAGGTGCACGAGTGTCGAAAAGCCACAGACCCAGCAGCAGCTATACTGCTGGCTCCATGTCCACCTTTGTTGTAGTCGTCGCATGTTCATCACGGGACACTCGGACATGTCGGTGTGATGACGAACACGCACATTAGGTGTAACTGGACTGTAATGGAAAGCCAGTCGATCTGAGTAGGTGCCATTGGAGAAGGGGCTTAGATTCACTTTGAAGATGGACATGTTTCTGTCTGTGTTGGGATGCAGCTCATGCACCGTTTCTTACATGTTGATGTGCAAAGTTTCTGCCTGTGCAGTTCTAACATCTTCAGCTGTCCTCTCTGCAGGACGTCCATCAGCGGTTGATCAGTCTGAGCACACAGCTTCACGCCCTGCAGGTCTGAAACTTATTTCCAGTATTGATTGTTTATACATCCTGCAAGTAACCCAAATAAATAGTGATTCATTTATTCAGTATTTATGTTATCAATGTTGCAGGCTGCTGTGATTCGTCAGGACTCAATGCTAGCGCTGTTGGTCAGTGCAGGCTCCACCCCCTCCACCACCCCTGGCTCTGCCCCTGGCCCCCGCCTCAGCCGGTCACTGTCACGTGACACAGGGTTGGAAGCCAGCGGGGAGGCGGTGCTGCTGCGGCGGCAGGTGGAGCTGCTACAGGAGGAAGTGACACGCCTCCGTCTGCGAGGGGAGGACCAAAACTGGGAGGGAGTGGAGCCAGGCACCAGAAGGAGGAGCAAAAATGGAGAGAAGAGCGATGTTATGAAAGGAGAACAGGTGAGTTGGGTTCACTTGTTCACCTAAAGCGCGATGAGTCGACAAAACTGGAATAAATCCGAGTTGTCTGTTGGCAGGCTAACAAGAGGCGTAGCAGTCGGGAACTGGAGCTCCGCCCCCTCGCCCCACTAGCCACCGAGGATCCAGTCGACCAATTAGATGGCGTCCAAGAAGGAAATGAAGAGGAAGAGGAGGAAGTGATGAAGATCTCTCCTCGCTCTGACAGCCCCAGAGGTTAGTACCACTGATCAACAATCAATATGGAAAACCCATGGCATTATGATGTCTCCATGGTAACCTATTACCTCTGACCCCTCAGACCTGCAGGACATCCCAGAGGAGAGCGAGAGTTAACGCCCCACCTCCAGCCGATGACCTCAGGGACCTCTGCTGTTGTCACTGTGACGCCACAGACACACATCGGACTCTTATTGTTAAAGGCCCTGGATATGATGCCAGTGCCTGTTTTACAGTTTTTAGACCAAATCAGACTTTTGTTCTTGGAACATTTTCTAAAAGGGTAAGGGCGAGGTTAAATTGGCAACTTATTTTGTGATTAGATCACTGGTTTGATCCGTGCCCTTGATGTTTTCTGTTTATTTGTTTCTTTGTTGTTTGTAAATGGGACCAGAGCATGCGTATCTGGAGCTGGACCTGGATCTGGATCTGGTCTGATCCAGATATTTTTCACAGTTTGTTTTAAGCAGACAGATTTTTATTTATTCTTTGAATCTGAGACACACCACACTACATTACCCAGAATGCCTTTGGACCAGCAGCCATCTCATATTTAAAGTTTTGATTTTAATGGTGTCTGATTTACAGAAACCATTACCAGTATGTAAGCATTGAAAGGACTGGGATTATGGGGAGGGATTGGAGGTTGGTGTGGTCAGATTTGGGTTTTGGGGGTCGGGACTCACGTAGTGCTGGATTGTAGGTCAGGTGTGTTTTTAAGGAGCACAGAGCTCCTTCTATTAGCATGTTAGCATGGCTGTGTCTCTTATACTTGTGTAGGACATTGGTTGAATTGACCAATCAGCTTGTTTCTTTTGATGCATGGAGGTGATGATGTCAGCTCCTCATGTCGTCCGGTGATGATGATGATGATGATGATGGAACAGTGTTTCACATAGAAAATTGTTCATTTACAAAAAAGAACAACAGACGCCGGTGATGATGTAATCATGTGATCACATTGGGGTGGACTACAGCAAGTTCAACAAGTCTGCGATCAGTCAAAGAGGCCATGCCCCTAATAATGCAAACTCCAGTTCAGACAGGAGAGTGTTATCTATAGAGACCAGTTTGTGAATCAGGTTGTAAGCATGTTTATTTTAACATGTAAGGGTTTTGGGACTGACTCGCTGCTGCCTCTGCTGGACAGTAGAGGAACTGTAGTTTGGCGCTGATTAAGCAGAAAGCGTTACCGAAGAATGCGGGCATCCTCTGTCCTGATCATGTGTGATTGATCATCACCTTATTGATCAGGTGTTTCATGGACAGTAGTCCCACCCCCTGTGAGTTCACATGATGTTCTGTAGGTTTTGGAAACACAAAAAAATAAATTTGTAACATCAGGACCTGAATGTGATTTTGAAGTTTTTGAATAACTGATTGTGTTCAGGTTTAACGCTGAGAAGTTTCTACAGTGTGAATCACTGTTTTGTTATGTTTTTTTTATCTGAAGCTTGGGGATCCAAAACATTTCTGACTGTTTACGCAAAAAAAGCTCGCCAGGATGCACGCCTCACATCCAGATGTGCCGCTGTAACATTTCTTTTGAGTGTATTTTAACTGTAGTAACAATGGACTGAAGTAATTGTATTGATCTCTGATGAGTGTAGGTGATTCCTGCTGTACTCTTTGTAAATCTAATCAGCTGCTCTTCGAGTATTTGTCTTTACTTTTAGCTTCAGATGAAACATGACTTTCAGATTTTGATTACTGATGCAGAAATTGATGCATTGATAAACAAAGCACACAGTGACACAAAGTTCATTCGGCAAATTTATTTCCTGAAACTAAAAATAAACAAAGATGGCTGACATTCAATTCAATTCAGTTTTATTTATATAGTGTCAAATTACAACAACAGTCGCCTCAAGTGTCACGGGTGCAGGAGAAAGAGGACCCCAAAATGCGGCGCTCTGGCCAAAAAGTGTGCGTTTCCAAAGGTAGTGCCAAAAAACAGTGAAAGGTGCTAATCCAAAGGTGCTCCTCCTTAATCCCCAAGTGCAGCTTCGTCCGTGCTATTCCGTGTGTGAATGGTGCTTCCTGATTCTCCTCTCCGTGCCAATCTCCTGGGAGAGGTTGAAACCAAACACACAATTAGCGGGCTTCAAAACCAACAATCCACTTTCACTTAAAGTAACTAACGCTACCAGCCTGGAGTAAGCATTCGACGTTGACTGTCATCGTGCATCTTCCTTAAATGCCACAGCTCTAAGATGGAGGCTTAGTCCATCGTGGGCGATCGTGGCTCAAAGAGTTGGCAGTTCGTCTTGTAACCGGAAGGTTGCCAGTTTGAGCCCCGGACAGTCTCGGTCGTTGTGTCCTTGGGCGAGATACTACTGGGCCAGAGGGGCCGATGGCGCGATATGGCAGCCTCGCTTCTGTCAG